GTTTGATAGCACACTAAGTGTTCCTCCGGTATTCGGGAGTTGCATAATCTCATAGTCATAGGAACGTGTATAAGTTATGGAGAAAGCAATAGCAATAAACTAAACGATCAAAGTGCTAAGCTAACGAATGGGTCAAGTCAATCACATCATTCTCTAATGTTGTGATCCCATTCATCAAATGACAACTCTTGTCCATGGCTAGGAAACTTAACCATCTTTGATTAACGAGCTAGTCAAGTAGAGGCATACTAGTGACACTCATTTTGTCTATGTACTAGACCATAAAGGCGCGCGTTGCTGCGCCTGTCCATTCTAAAATAATAATAATAGATATATTAAGAAAGAATTGGAATTTTAAGTAATTTGATTGAGAAACCACATGTTTGCTTGACTACTTAAGTTTGGTTTTTGTTCTAGCACATATATATTACCAATAAAAAGATAGCGTTCAGTCGAGGGGAGCAGAGCATCTGGATTACCATATTTGGGTTTAAATGATGCATATGTTTTCAACACAATAATCATTCTTTGATGGAATACAAAGTGATAACAATGGGCACTAAACATACCTCAATAGCCGCGGTGTTGTAGGAGAGGGTTTAAAACTATGTCATTGAGGAGATGTTGGCCGCCGCAAGCCCTCCACCTTATGCCAATTTGAATTGACCTCACATCATCCTGTGGGCTTAGGGGCGGCAAGTGGAAGGGGTGGCACCGCTGGGGCGAGGTAAAACATGAATGGAATAGTCTAATCAAACCAAGAATCGAACCAGATACAATATGTTCAGCGAAGCATACAAACGTCATAGTTTGATCCAACAGGTGACAAAAATCTGAGGGGAAATCTTAGAAGGAAATACGTAAGGAGAGATTACTTGAAAGATAGGGGATTTCCTTCATCTTGACCAATCATCTCGGAAACTCAGGATAATGAAAAAGGGATTGGTGCCGACAGCATTCGTATCTTCGCAGCCGATTGCACCTGGTGTGGCTGAAATGGGAAGAGTCAAGGTCTTGGTCATTGACGCTGATCTGGCACCAGTAGCGGTGAGCCGGCGACCACCGATTTCAACGTGGGGGCGTAGTCCATGGCGTGGCATGCCCATGCTTCTCTCGCTGGTGTGGAGAGTGGAGTCCCGAGGATTGTATTCTTCCCTTCTCCCACACTGCCACTGATGTTGGCCGATGGACCGCCGCTCATTGGAAGCAGTAGCGCGCCACCAGCGCCGAGACGGCCAGTCGCATTCTCGACTAGGGGAATCAGGGAGAGACGAGGACGCACAAAACGGACTGGGAAAGAATCCTTTCTGTGGGATACGTAGGCCTTCGGCCCGACGAAGGATATATCTCCTAGCTCATTTTGTGGAGCAGCAGCCCGATCACGTGGATTGAGCGGATTGCGAGAACGAGGACAACCTGATGGGCGCTATATCAATCTGGTACGTCGGTTAGTTTGATCAAACAGCTAAGAATCTCAAATCACCGTAGGGAGCCGTAGCTAGCTTCGTTTTACTGTTTTGTAATTCACACATGTACAAAGTTTCTGGTTAATGCAATTCTAGCATGAATAATAAACATTTACATGATATAAGGAAATATAAATAACAACTTTATTATTGCCTCTAGGGCATATTTCCTTCACCCGTCTGGAGGCCTTTCCCGGCACTTTGCCGGAGGGGGATTCAATCACGGAGGGGGTTGTACATCATCCTTGCTTCCCGCCGATGATGTGTTTGTAGTTTACCACAGACCTATGGGTCCATAGTGTGATGGCCTGGCTTATTAGGGACGATAGACTACTCATATCAATAAGGAATTCCTTCTTTTCCGATAGCCCATTCGGACAGAACTCCAAAGTTAAGCGTGCTCAGCTTGGAGTAGTGTCAGGATGGGTGACCGACCGGGAAGTTGCTCCCGGGTGCGCATGAGTGAGGACAAAGTGCGCAGAAAAGACTAGTATTGATCTGTGGGGCCAGTCTAGATCCCGCCAGGAGTAACGACCACCGGCGGGTGTGTCCGGGGCGTTACAAGTTGGTATCAGAGCCGACCCTCGCGGTTACACGGATGGTTGCAGATAGGTGCCTGGTCATGTTGTTCATGACGGTTGTGACCCGTCGTGGCACACGGCATGACACATGTACTAGACTGGAAGCACAGACGTATGTGCCAAGAGGGAACGTTCCTGTGGCCCGACGAGGACGTCGGTTCCTCTGAGTGGGGGTGTATGTGATGGCCTGGCTTATTAGGGATGATAGACTACTCGTATCAATAAGGAATTCCTTCTTTTCCGGTAGCCCATTCGGACAGAACTCCAAAGTTAAGCGTGCTCAGCTTGGAGTAGTGTCAGATTGGGTGACCGACCGGGAAGTTACTCCCGGGTGCGCATGAGTGAGGACAAAGTGCGCAGAAAAGACTAGTATTGATCTGTGGGGCCAGTCTAGATCCCGCCAGGAGTAACGACCACCGGCGGCTGTGTCCGGGGTGTTACACATAGTTAGTAGCTAGATGGCTTTTTCTCTCTATTTGACCTTCAATACAATGTTCTCCTTGGTGTTCTTGGAGATCTGTTCGATGTAATGCCTTTTTGTAGTGTGTTTGTTGGGATCCGATGAATTGTGAGTTTATAATCAGATCTATCCATGAATATTATTTGAGTTTTCTGTGAACACTTTTATGTATGATTGTTATAGCCTCATATTTCTTCTCTAATTTATTTGTTTGGTTTGGCCAACTAGATTGATTTATCTTGCCATGGAAAGATGTGCTTTGTAATGGGCTCGACCTTATGGTGCTCAATCCCAGTGACAGAAAGGGACATGACACGTATGTATCACTGCTATTAAGGGTAAAAGGATGAGATTTATTTCATACGTGAGTTTATCTTGTCTACATCATGTCATCTTGCTTAAGGCGTTACTTCATTTTTCCATGAACTTAATACACGAGATGCATGCTGGATAGCGGTCGATGTGTAGAGTAATAGTAGTAATGAATAATCGTTTCGGTCTACTTGTCTCAGACGTGATGCCTATATACAATACATGATCATTGCCTTGGATATCGTCATGATCATTTGCTTTTCTTTATATGAACTCCGATTTTGACGTTCTTGGGCTTGTTGGATTGCTAGCAAAAATCCCGATGCGTTTGTGGCCTTAGATCTACATTTTGGACACTTTTATAAATGTCAAATCATCAAAGTCTCCAAAAGGCCTTAATCTGGTGCGTGGAACTTCTCTGGTTTGACCCCTAGCTTGATTTTTTTGATGTCTCAAGTTCATGAACATGCCAGCACAACTACGAAGACCACAACACAAAAGAAAACTAAAATAAAAAGTATACAACAAACTTGGTAAAACAAGTAAATACCGAAAACTATACATTAGAGACATGAATAAGTGCTAGATGGATATGATGTGAGGGATTTTGGCACTATAATATACTCTAAAAGTATGTATAAAATCCACTCATCAATAATCTAGGACTTCATCCTTGGTTGGCTGGGGATACAACTGTCATCCTAGCCGTCCAACTACAAATCAGTTCGTATGAATTATAACCTGCCGCCTCCTCCCTAATTAGGGTTCCGCCTCGTCTCCGGTGGCCTTACGGTCATGAGAACACAGTGGATCCCGACCCTTGCCGGTGTGAGGGCTCCGTTTTTAGATGTGTCTTCGAAATTTGTTAAGGTTTGTGTCCTGCTCAGAAAGACGAGACAACGACGGCTCTCTGAAGATGGAATAACGTTCTCCTTGCCTAGCCCCCGTTCCCGTGGTGCGTCCAGCATTGTCGACGGGCTATGTGGAGCTGTGTCTCCTGTGAATATGTCCCTGGTGGATTTGCTCGGATTTGTTCGTCATTCGTCTATATTCGTGTGTTTTCAGGTTGCATTGTTCTGATCTATATTACTCGTCATCGACGACGGTTGTTATTTTGTTGCGTTAGTCCTGTGGAGTCTTAACACGACGTCTTCGTGACTTTGTACTACAAAGCAAGTTTTGCCCGGCTCCGGTGAGGGAGGGGCGATGACGGCGGCGCGCCTTCGCCTCGCTTCAATGCTTGTAGTCTTCGCTAGATGGTCTACGGATCTGGATGTAATTTATATTATTTCTCGTGTTTGTTGTACTGCCATGACTGAAAATTAATAGATCGGCTGAATTATAAACAACACTTGTGATGAGCAATCCAAACATTTCAAAAAAATGTCAAAAAAAGCAGGACGTTTCTATTTCGGCACGTGTGACCAAGAGTCCAAGAACCAGCAGGGCTGGCTGACCCCGACAACCGAACCAACCACGCCAGCTCACACTGGCAGCACAATCATCCGCTTCAGGGCCCACCTGTCAGCGGGACATTAGCCCAGAGCCAGGCTCGCCGGGGAGGTGTAAATTGTAAATTGCGCACGAGACAGCGCTGTTCGTCGTGACCAGGGATCAAAATTGGGGGAAAAATATCTCCCCGATTGCGGCGGCCGCAAAACCAAAAACAAGATTCAGCTCATCGGTGAGCTCGCGTTGCGCTCTTGGATTCTGGGTCGTGGATTCGGCCTCTCCAATCCTGGTTAGTCTCCTCCCGTCCTTCGTCCCCCAATTTTTTTCTCGGGGAAATTGGCATCTTTCGGCGGTAGTTCGCCCCGGGATTTCGTCAAGTTTGTGAAATTCGAGGTGGATTTACTTCGGGTCTGCGATTCCCCGTACGGATTTGCTCGAAAACATTGTTTTGGATTAGATTTCTCAAGCTATCCGTGCGTCCGTGCGAGCTCTTGGATCACGGAGCAACCCTTGTGCTGACCTGATTGCGTAGCAAACTTCTGTGCTAATCTTTTCGCTTCTTGATCTGATTACGCAGATGGGTGCTACGATTCTCGCCTAAAGGATACTTCTTGGGGCGAAGCCCTCGGGGGATTGCTGGAGTTCTCCTGGGTGTTCGGTGGCAGCTAGGGTTTGCTCTTACAGAGCCCCGTCGTCTCCGCGGGCCTTTTACATTCGTGCTGTTCCAAGATGCAGCCTTCCAAGAAACTTGCTCGCGTCGACACGGCGGAGATCAAGTCGCAGCTAGTCAGGAAGCTCGGCCACCAGCGCTCTGAGCTCTACTTCCATAGCCTCAAGAAGTTCCTGAGTTTCCAGCTAGGCAAGAGCGAGTTTGACAAGATCTGCGTGGCCACACTGGGGAAGGAGAACATCAAGCTTCACAATTTCCTCGTCCAGTCAATCCTCGGCAATGCTTATATGTCGCTGGGGCCACCGCCCAGCAGGCAGACGCCAACTGGGAATTCACAGACTAGCGCTGTGACGAATGGGACATTGGCCAGTGGTGTGCCGCTAGCAAGGAGAGTGCGGCCGGTGGCTAACCGTGACAAGAGGTTTGCTGATAAGCCGAGTCCACTTGGAAAGTCCCCTCTTGGTCATCCAGGGGCCGCGGAGTTTGTGTCCGTCGAGGATGGCGAGGAGGTTGATCAAGCCAGGGGCAGCCCCGTATGTGTGCAGAGTCAGAGCCCAATCAGGGCTCCATTGGGAATTCCCCCAAAGGCTCAGAATTCTCAGCCTTCGATATCTTATCCCTCAGAGATTTGCTATAATAATGGTGAATTGCCAGGTAGCGAGGACCTGTCAAAGCTACTTGAGAATAAGCTGAAAGCCGAAGGCCTTAGCATATCCGTTGAATGTGCTGATCTGCTGAACTCTGGGCTGAACGTGTACATAAGTCAGATGCTGAAGTCTTGTTTGGGGGTTGCAAAAGCAAGGGGAAAGACAATGAGGATGCCAGAAGCTAACAGGAGTGCCTCTGCTGCTGTAAATGGTGGGCGGAATAATGCCACTGCTTCAGATTTAGGCTGTTCCTACCAAGCTTCACTGGTAGATCTCTGCACGGCTGTACAGTCTAATGCTCGGTTACTGGGGTGTGACTACGCCAGGCAATACGAGAAGATTGCTTCCCACCTTGACAGCTAAATGGCAGCACCCAATTTTCTCATAGAACTTCATCGGTTGTTATGTTGGGCAGAGTAGGCAATCCTTTGCCATAGATTGGTGCTGTAGAAATCTACAGCTAGTTAGGTTGAGGTGAAGTAGACTTTGACTGCCATAGGGCTGAGGGTGTTTTTGGTTAGGATGATACATCATGGAATTTCAATACATCAAAGTTCACTTTCATTACTTGTGACTATTCACAAAATAAAGAGTTTCTGCCAATACACCTTCACTTTGTTTCCGCTGCTCACAGATTGTTTGCATACCTGTACTGATAACCAGGTTCTGTTGCTTGGATTTGTCACTGTTTTGTTTGATAATTTGAACCTGTTAGCTTCGCTCTGCTGAAGAAATATTGTTCACCCCTATTTTCTTTCATGTGTGCATAATCTTTGTTCTTTTACCATGCACTTGGAAGCAGCGTTCTTGCTAGCTGCCAAGTTGATTTTTTTTATCCTTCCGCTTCGGAGTTTCCACAGTTATCTGAATTTTGGCATGACCTGTCTATTTCTATCTTTAATAGAAACTAGCATTTGTTCTGACAGTGCAGACTAGGAGCCCTCGCAATGATTTGGAAAGGATTTACGTTTGATTTGGATCTCACGGTGCTCTGCGCCTGTGCTGTTGCAAGCTGGGCCATCGGTCACGCTGGCCTTGCTTGGAGTAGCTACAGTATCGGATGGGCTGCTACTCTACGTGCAGTTTGGGCTTCTATCCACCGGCATTCGACGATTTTGCTCCGAGCTCGCCTGCCATGTGTGATGGCTCTCTTCATCTGCCTATTTGTGTGTTCATCCGTTTTCTGTTTGCCTTGCATTCCCCGTTGTGTCTTCAGCTTGTTTTGAGGGACTTAAGCCTTGCCCCTCCCGCTCTTCAATCCCTGATATAATGCTTCCCCTTGTGTATTCTTTCTGCTCCTATCTTCTTCCCTTGTTCCCTTTGGTTCTTCCCTACTGATGTTTGAATAACTGGCCTGTTTCCTTGCTAGATCAAACTGATCGTTCTTCATTTGGTGTCTGCTGGGTTGATTGTTAGCCTTTAGCTGATCTTCTTTCGTGTTCTTAAGTGTGTTCCCGGTTGTATTTATAGAGACTTCAGCGATTACGGAAAATGTTTTGTGATGTGGCTTGAACCTGCTCTCTCTGAGTTTCCGATATGGATCCTGCTGGATCCCGGGCTGCAGCGACTGAGAGTGGCGCCCCTGCCGTCAGTGGCACTTTATCGACGCAGAAATGGCTCACTGTTAACTTTTAAGTTCACTTTGCACAAGTACTTCCTTTGATTTTGCTCTCCATCTCAAGAACTGATGCTAGGCTTACAAATAATGGGCTGCCCTTGGTATCCTGAAGTTCTGTTGCCGGGTTAGCTATTCTTCACGAAAATTTACATCCCAAACTGAAGTGTTGGGAATGCTTCGCGAAATGGCCCTTCTTGGCTCTTCATTTGGATATTAAATGGATAAACTGCCTGAAGGTTTTGACTTGTGAATAGCCAGATGAGCTCAGTAGAAGGTGTAATTCTTTCTTTTACGTCTGTTTCGATATTAAATGGATAAACTGCCTGAAGGTTTTGACTTGTGAATAGCCAGATGAGCTAAGTAGAAGGTGTGAGAGAGTCTCTACTAATCAGGAATTGCGGTTGTGGCAGCATGCACATTAATGTTCTAGTGTGTGTGCATTTTAACACAAATTTGCTGCCTCTGCCTCTGAAACACTTTTGAGCAGCACTTTTGATATTCCTGCATAATTTCTTACCTTGTTTGGAGAAGTCGATTTGCCAAAAAAAACTCTGCCTTAAAAATTGAGAACAAAAAAGTTATAAACACTTGAATGTGTGAGACCATACACGGACACGACATCATATCTGTTCTATTTGAAGTTGTCACTTGATCTTCACTCTGGTACTTTCAGCTAGCATGCTTCGTCGCGGTCACAAGACTGAATTAAATCCGGCGATGTGGATCAACCAGTCTGACGCTTCGTCGCTGCTGTTATTCAGAATCTGAGTATGCCGGGTACAAGATCGCTGTGTCCTTCGTACTCGTTTCACTCATCAGTCGCCAACGAAGCTTTGGTTCCTTCACCAAAGCGCATGAAAATTATTCTGCACTCAGCTTCCATTTTTAGTTAAGCGCAGATGTACTAGTACAGTACTATGCAAGACGCCGAGAATCAAACCGCAGCATTCATCCGGCGGACAGCATCGGGCGAGTCCTCATCTGTCCTCCTGTACAATACTTGTGAACAACCATATCCATGCACGCCCATCAGAGCAACTCCAATGGGCGACCCATTTCGTCCATTTGAATCACCCGAACACAAAAGTTGGCCCAACGGGGCGACCCAAACGGACACAGCCTCCGCCTGCTGTCCGTCCCGACCCAAACTGAGTCCAAATATGAGTCATAAATGGGTCCGCGACAGACAGAAGCGGACGCTCTCGTCGCACGCTCTCGTTCGCTCCTGTCCGCTCTGGACCCACATATCAATGACCACGAGCAAAGGACCGGCGCACCGGCGAGTCCACCTGCGCGCAGGGACTGCCATGCTCGCCGACGAGGCCTCCTGCGTAGGCCCGGGGAACTGGATCACGGCGGTGCCGGGGAAACGCAGGCAGGCGACATGGGCCCGAGGAGACCCGGTGAGCTGCAGATCTCGTCGAAGGGGCGTCGGCCATGGCCGCTCCCGACGCGGCGGGCATCGCTGTCGCGGCTGCTTGGACGGCCCGAGTGCTCCGGTGACCTCAAGCTGGGAGGGCCGGAGGAGTTCGGCTCTGCGGCGCTGACGCGATGAAGGCGGCAGCGGAGCAGCGCTAGGTCGTGGCAGCGCTGGCGGAGAGTGAGCAGAGAGGAGCTATCGCTTTAGGAGGAGAGGAAATCCAGATGGGCATCGCCATGGACGAGCTTCGCAATAAAGGGGAACTGCAGCGCCATGGACGTTCATGGGGGCAGCCTCGATTGGGCACACATGGGCCAAACTAGTCAAGGAAAGGCGGGGAATCAGAGGGAAGGCGGCGGCGGAGCAGCGCCAGGGCGTGGCGGCGCCGGAGCCAGCCGGCAACGGCCGGAGCAGAGGATGGAGGTGCCGGCGACATGCACGGGGGAGGAAGTAGAGAAGGGGATCGACCGCTTCATGTGTTGTTGTTGTCCGCTTTTATGTGTTGTGCGTTGGGTGGATCCACCGGCCGCATTTGTCCGCCCCATGTCCGCTAGGCGGACAGATGACCTAAACGGATAAAAAACGGATAAAATCCGTGTTCGTTTGGGTCACCGTATTGAAGTTGCTCTCATATAGCATAAATTGGTCACCAATTCAATAATTCAAGGATACAAAATAAACAATAGTTCAACAATTTATTGCATGCCAAAATAAAATTTAATGATTCATACATACATAGCCGATACACGCATGAATCAAACGCTTCAATTGTTGAGATAGTTGGTCCTTTGTTTCATCTTGATCATCCACTCCTTGGCTTCATCATCTAAGAGGCTAGTTCCTGCAACATGACTCTCCGGACTGAATTCCATCTTCTCCCTTGCATATCTATGAAGATCTTGCACCTCTCTTCCTTCTTTACCTCCTCCTGAAAAAAGTCCCCTCGGCCACGACATACGGATTGGTTGATGTCCCCAAACTGCTCATGCCAAAGTCCATGTCCTCGTCGGTAGCCATCTTTGCACGGGCCCTCTCAGCAGCTACCTTCCTTGTCGCTTCACACTCGCACTGCTTTGGGCAACGCTTCCTCTGGGCAACGTTCTCTACTTTGCAACTGACCGCCATGGTCAGAATTCCCACCGGTTCTGAGACATCGTCCATGCCGATGGTGGCAGACAGAGTAGTCGGCGACGACATCAACGACGAATGATGAGGATGGCGGCGCGAACAGTGAGCTAGGAAAGAGTTGGGCGACTACGCGGAGACGAGAAATGGAGGACATATGCAGGAGGACTGCGGTCGAAGTAGTGGACTAGTCAATTTCGAGATGATTTGGGATGTACTCCCTCCGTTTCTTTTTACTTCGCATATAAGATTTGGTCAAAGTCAAACTACACAAAGTTTGACCAAATTTATATAGAAAAATATGAACATCTATAATAGTAAAACTATATAGTATAAAAATACATTTCGTGGTGCATCTGATAATATTGATTTCATATTGTCAATGTTTATATTTTAAAATTAGTCAAACTTTACAAAGCTTGACTTTGACCAAACCTTATATACAGACTAAAAAGAAACGGAGGGAGTATTTGATTTGTCAGAACCAACGTCCCATATCTGTCCCAGATGTGGGCTAGGTAAAGGGAGTGTCGGTCAAACCGGGACATTTGGGTCAGATTTGCCAGGTCTGATTGGGTGTTTTCTTTTTGAGCAGTGACCGGACAGGCCCAAACGTTTGAGACAGATAGGAGGGCTCCAGTCATATGTTCATTAAAGAAGTTCCGTGTTTCTGCCTCTTGCTACATTCCAGACTTTCATGGTAAAAATAACATGGAGAACTAGGGCCGTGCCTTAGCCTTGTTCCATAGAAATACTTCAATATTGTTACCAAAATGTATTCTGAAACTGGAAGTAAGTCGGTGTTCATGTAGAGCATTTACCATAGTACTTCCTCCATCTTTTTTTTACTATACATGTTAGGGTATTATGTGAACTACGTTTTGGTTCACATGAATAAATAAACATATTAACCCTACTAAACACATGTTAAAATCAAACTACACAAAAATGTAATTATGATATTATGCCATTAAAGATTATGCTCCTATAATTCATGTGTAGAAAACCTAAAATGAAGCCCACTCTAAACATCCTGCATTTTTGTACTCAAGTCTTCTGAACCAAGCGATTTTTTCTATTTCTGTATTTTTTCTTCATTTCCTATGAACCATTTCAGCACGTGCAACCAACTAGCAGCAGTTAGGTGGCTCACCCTGATGACATAAACCAACACAACAACCCGGACGTGAATTTTTGGGA